CTCAGGGTACAGAAACAAAATTCAAGACTGGCCTGGTCTACATAGTGAGTTTCAGGACAGTCAAGACTACATAGTGAGACCTTGACTCAGAAAGAAGAGAAATGAGGAAAAGCGAGAGGAAAAAGAAAACACAAGGGAAGTAAAAATTAGTTAAGGATGATTGGTAGCTTTTATACTGTCAAGATATAATTATAATATAAACTCAAAATAAAAAATAACTATAAATAAATAAAATCTGAGCTTCCAAAATGGGGGGGGGGGAATTGGTACTTTATTAATGTTCTAATACTATTCCATATGATCAAAAGCAGTAGCAATGTATGAGGATCTTAAAAATAGTCCAGGGTGTGTAGTCTCTATCATTTTTCTACCTAGAGGTAGGTGGATCTCTGTGAGTTTGAGGACAGCCTGGTCTATATATCAAGACAGCCTGGTGCATGTAGAGATTCTGTCTCAATAAAAAGGAAAAGAAAAGAAGATAGAAATAGCAAGCGAAAGAAGGCTTGAGTAGCAAGTCTCCCCAAACAAAACAAAAACCTGTTTACAGATCTGATTAGGTGAAATGATTAAGAAATCTGGAATAGGTCCTACTAGCGAATGGGAAAGTGTTAGGAGATGGGCATGTAGGTGGAGTTTTTGTTTGTTTGTTTTTGGTTTTTTTTTTTTTTTTTGTGTGTGTGTGTGTGTGTGTGTGTGTGTGTGTGTGTGTGTGTGTGTTTTAATTTTTGCTCTTTGGGGGCCCACCACCCAGCTCCCAAATAAATACATGGAGATTTATTCTTACTTATGAATGCCTGTCCTTTAGCTTGGCTTGTTTCTAGCCAGCTTTTCTTAAATTATCCAATCTACCTTTTACCTCTGGGCTTTTACCTTTCTTTATTCTATATCTCTTGATTTCCTTCTTATTCTGAGTCTGGCTGTGTTGCTATGTTGCTGGCCCCTGGCATCCTCCTCTCCATTTTTCATTCCTCCCTCTCACTCTTCTCTTATTTATTCTCTCTGCCTTCCAGCTCCACCTGTTTCTCTCTCTCCTGCCTATTGGTCATTCAGCTCTTTATTAAGACCAATCAAGTGTTTTAGACAGGCAAAGTAACACAGCTTCACAGAGTTAAACAAATGCAACATAAAAGAATGAAACAATTCTTTGCATCATTAAACAAATATTTCACAGCATAAACAAATGTAATGCATCTCGAACTAATATTCCACAGGTTGGGTAGGCAGCATGAACAGAGAGAGCTGCATTTCATTATCAGCCCCTTATTTGTGTAGTCTGGCTTTTGATATTGGTGAAATTATTATGGCCACTCTACATAGTTAAAAGGAAGATTTATTTAGTGGGTAACTTACAAAAAAGGGAAAGGTAGGTC